CCTCCATATCTGCACAAGGCACACCGAATATCATCAATTGTATGGTACGCATCGATAACTGTGCACCCGGATCACCACCCACTTACGCTCCAGACGAAGAAGAACTGCCACCGCCGTGAACACAAGGCCTTCAGGTCAACCGAATGTACGCTGCAGTCGCCAACGCCGAACCCACCGGGCGAAACACCTGGTTCTTGGACAGCTGTTGTGGCCAACACATGTGTTCTTCCAGACGCTTCGTGCAACGAGAGCGACGCCTCAACCGCGATGTCATCATCACCGTCGCCAACAACGAGAACCTAAAAAAAAACAGACAAGGAGTGGTTCAATTGCAGTCCATGGAGACAAACGTCATCCTGCAACTCAACAAGGTTCTAATTGTCGACAACTTGGGATACAATCTGCTAAGCGTCAGCCAACTAATGGAAAAAGGGATTCACCTGGAATGCGACTCCGACGCCAACGAATTTCGTCTTTACCACGGGAAGGGCGGCCTCTTCATCGGTCGCGCTCTCCTGAATTCAGGTGTCTTCGTGTTGGATTTTGTCCCCGACTGCGGTACTGCCAACAACGATGGCATCGTGTCATTCGCCGCCTAGACACACCCGCCGGATCTTGACCCCAACTTCACCCCAGATGGATTCTGGTACTCCAACACCATACCTGCAGCAGAGAGAACACGAGCGTTAGCAGTCATTCGACAAGAAAGACAAGTACCAGCAAGCGTCCCTTCCCCGACATCACGTGCAGTAGCAGCAGCAGGACCCAGCCGAGTACCATCACCAGCAATCCGAGGACCGCCAAGCGAAGCAGATCAACTTACGCCCATCACACGAGAAGTCTGCCGAAGTCCCGCCACGGTCGTCGCGTTCTTCTCCAACGCCGATATGTACCAACGCTCGCCCGACCATCGTGCTCCCGACGACATCTGGCATCAACGCCTTGGGCATCCTGCAAACAGCACAGTACTATAAACCATCCAAGCCGAAGTGTTAGAAAGAAATGCTCTTCTTACAACGAGCGGCCAAGAACTTCGACGACCACGCGCTCGATGCTTTACGTGCCCCCAAGCCGATCTTCCCCACCAACCTTTTCCATCACATCACAACCCAAGCGCACCAGCATACGCACCGATGGAAAAAAATTACAGCGACATCTTAAACATGCCTCGAGACGACAGTGAAGCCGACTTCAACTATGTCATCACGTTCATCGATGCAGCAACAAGATACGTCTGGCACTACAACCTCAAGACACGAGATCAAGCATTCAAAGCCTTCACAACGTGGCTCCCCATCGCTGAACGGGAATCAGGCACTCAACTAAAAAGCTTTCAATCAGACGGGGCAATGGAGTACCAGTCACAAAGATTCAGGAACTTCTTGGCAGAGAGAGGAATCAGGCGCCTGGTGTCTCTGCCCTACGCTCACCAGCAGCAGGGGGTCACAGAAAGAATGAACCGGACCCTGCAGACGACGATGCGAAAGCTGCTCCTGGGGATAAGACTGCCCAACGCACTGTGGCCAGACGCGATGACACATGCAGTCCACCTACACAATCTGTTGTCCTCGTCCTCACTTCCCAACAACGCATCACCGCACCTGCTGTGGACACGAAAAAGGGGCAGCACAAAATTACTTGGGGTTTTCGGCTGCATGGTACAGTACAGACCCCACACAGCTCGAGCAGGATGCTTCACTCAACGAGCACGGTGGGGACTACACCTCGGCATCGCAAAACATTTCCAAGCATGGAAACTCCTCGACATACAAGACAAAAATACCGTGGCCTCACGTGATGTGATTTTCTACGAGCGACTGACGCTGCAGCATTACGTGGAAAACGTCGCCAACACAGATGACCCCACCGACGGCTTTGCGGGCCTTCGCTCCTTCGCCGATCGTGCTGCCGAAGTTGACGCAGCAGAAGAAGACGTACCTGAAGCCTCGGAAACTGCCGGACCACTCCCATACTGCTCCGTGCCTGTTCCCCTCAACGATGACAATCCTCTCGATAGTAACAACCTCGACACCTATTACCACTTCGCTGACAAAGGTTACGCTACACCTCAACCAGCCGACACGAATATCTCAGAACGCATCGGACCAAATTTCTTACCTGATCCCGAAGATGGCGACGAAGCAGCTTATCCCGGGAACGAAAATTCCCCTCGACACTCACCCACGGGCCTGCAGATACTTGGATTATGGGTCTCCGTCCAGCACCCACCGCCGCCGTCTCCGCGTGAGCCAACGACTCTGTCGCAGGCTCTAGGGGGGGAACATAAGGCGAAATGGAAGGAGGCAATGGAAAAAGAACTGAAAGCTCTGCAAGACCGAAACACGTGGAAGCTGGTACCTGCAACAAACATCAACGGGAGGAACGTACTCTCGGGAAAATGGGTGTACCGCATCAAGACCAATGCGGATGGCTCCATCGACCGCTTCAAAGCTCGCTGGGTCGTACGAGGCTTCGACCAACGATATGGAACCGACTACAC